AATGGATTCCCCTATTGCCTGGATATTCTGTTTTTTTTCACGTAGAAAAAAAATTTTGGAAATTTAGCATTATATCTGAAAATTCTCATCTCAAATTTTTGTGGAATGCTTACGATGATAATAATTTACAGCAATTATCCGACACCAAGTCTGATTACTGGCTTTTTGGAAGTGCAAGGCCAAAGTATGATCCGAATAATTGCCGATCTTTACCTTACCTACTTGGATTCACAGAAGCTGGTAATGTGGCTTTATTGCGAGCAACTATTTCTGAATATTATCCTGATATTTTTGCGCATCAACAAAGGATAATAAATGCAACAAAATCTGAAGAGTTATTGCGCGATAGTTTAAAAAGAAAGGCTGATAAAATAAGTAATGATTTTGATGAAACTTTATACACTCCAATAAAGTATAATATATTATTAGAAAAAGAAGATAAAACTTTACCTCCAAGAAGTATTCAAGCCTTAATGTTAGACTATAACGAAGAAAAGGCAAAAATCCACAACCTCAATCGGAAAATAACCCGGCTCAAAAAAAAAATAGAGCAGCTGGAAGGTGAATTAGAAAAAACTAATATCAATGAGGAAAATTTGTTGGAAACAAAGGTCAAAGATGCAATAAAATCTGCTAAACTTGGTTCCACGATACTGATTTCCACTGAACAATACATTTCGTTGGTGCTTATGCAACCCTGCCGTAGTTGCAATAACGGAAGCCTCCCAGATAAAGTTCTAAATATAATGCAAATCGGATTTCGGGTTAAATGTATAGTAAAGTGTAAAAAATGTAATGCTATATTTGAACATGTAAATGAAACAAAAGAGATCCAGCTTACAAAAGCCGTCGCCACCTCTGGACTAGCAGGAGGAATATCTCGTAATGCAGTACAGAGTTTATTAGCCATTATAGGAGTTACTAATCAAATAAGCAGTAAAACATACCATCATTATCAAAAGATGTATTTTAGTCCTCTTAGAGCTTGTACTACTTCCAGTACAGAAAAAGCTCTGAAAAAATGTATTGAGCATACATTGTCGCAGGGCAAAAAAACTCTTGCTCTTGGGTTCGATTGCTCATGGTCACATGTACGAAATGCGAACCAAGCAAGTGGTGAGCTAATATACCAAGAAATACCACCTGGTATGATAATTTACTTGTAATCATTAATTTGATCTATAACTAATTAAAATCATTTTATTAGATTATTCTCACAAGCTGATTGTCGCGTTTCATGTGGTTGAAAAAACAAGATTCGCGAAAGATAATAAATCAGGACTTACTAAAACAATCCATCAAGGCAATTTCGATAAATCTTCAAGACAAATGGAACATGCCATTTTGATTGAGATTTTGAATCGCGTTAGTCCATCATTAGAAGAAGCTGGTCTACATTTAGAAATATGTATCGATGGCGATTTGGACTCGAATAAAACCCTTGCGAATGAACCCATTGTAGCTCATGTCTATGCTGATCTAAAACATTTAACAAAAAATATTAGAAATTCTTTACGTAGTAAGTGTAAAAAATTTTTATACAAAAAAATTACAAGTTTATAAATTCATATATTTTCTAATACCTTTTTCTAGATAAAAAGTATATCCAATTCCACGCCTTTGAAGACCATATAATGCGTTGGTTCCGCGGGTGTATTTATTCAGCAGCCTTACGAAAAGCAGCCCAAGATTCTCCCATACCATCTGAAGAGGAAACACGAAATATGCAAGTTGATGGTCTTATCTGCCATTTACAAAATAATCATTCATCTTGTTGGTCAGATATTTGCTGGACAAAAGATGATCCAGAAATTATTTTGCAAGAACCAACTCTTTGTCATTCATCAAAAAATCGAATTGATGAATTTCACAAACTCCTTGAAGAAATCTTCCGTCTACCTTGTGGCCAAGGAATTGTTACATTAAATCGAACTTCCCAAAATGAAGCATTTAATCGTGTAAAGCTTGTATACCTAGACAAAAAAATTGATTACTGGCAATCATATTCTGCACGTCATGCAATGGCTGTATCGCATTACAATGAAGGATATACTTATCTGTTTTCTGAACTTCGGGAAATTTACAGTGGGAAACCTTTCGATGCTGAAGATTTGCACAACATTAGTGCAATAGAAAAAGAGCGTTCTGAAAAACAAAGATGGAATGTAAATAATATACAACAACGTAACCAAATGCGGGCTAATAATTTTGCTAATGAACGTAAGGAATTGGGTGGTTTTAATTTTGATAAGATAATTATTATTATTGTAAAATAATAATCTTAAAAATTAACTATTTACTTACCACCATAATTTATAATATAGGAATTGGTTTATTATAAGGATAAAGCACAGGATCGGCTTCGCGCTAATGAGTTTTACCCATTCTTTGCTTCATTGATCGTAGACTTCGATGTAACTATAGGATGTATTGGTTGCTATACTTTTTCAAAACATACAAAAGGTTTATATGCATTGTGTTATACATACCAAGTATTCGGTTGAAAAGACAGAATTTTAAACCCGGAAGTAATAAAAGATGTTGCATGCCAACCTATGAATTTAACACAACAAGTTGAAGTTATTGCTGAAAAAGTATTTAAGTACACTAATTTGAGATCTGGACAATTAGAAGCTATAAGAAGTTATATAGAGGAAGGAAAGGATACGCTTGTTGTTATAAAGACCGGAGGCGGAAAATCTTTTTGTTATGCAGCCTCTGCGATCCTCTTTGACGGTCTTACAATTGTTATCTCCTCTTTGAAATCCTTAATTCAAAACCAAGTGGTTAGTATAAAAATCGTGTTATGTAAATATTTAAAGGTAAGATAAGCATGTATCTAACAAACTTTACCTTTAGAACTATTTCGTCCAGTTAGGAGTTCCATGTGGTGGTTTGTTAACATCATCAAAGGGAACGATTGAATATGAATCGAAACTTTTTGATGAAATAGTTTTTGGATTTACTCGCTTACTTTACGTCACTCCAGAAAAACTGTTGCTTAATAAATCACTTTGAAAGTTATGTAATCGCTTGTATGATATTAAGAAGCTACAGTTTGTGATTGATGAGGCACATTGTATTTTAGATTTTTGTCATTTCAGGTGAGAGATACGCAAATATAAAGTTAGTTTATAAAAAAAAATAACTAAAATTTAAAAAATAAAATATAGAGAAGAATGGGGAAAATTAGGAATATTAAAACAGTACTTTCCTGATGTTCGAATTATGGCTTTATCTGCAACTTTATCCCACGCTGATGTAAAAGCGCTTCAAATTAATTTAAATTTTGATACAACCCGTTTTGCAACTGTAAGAGGATCTGATTTATTTCGCAAAGAGTTATGTTTTTCTGTACAAAGCCGAACAGATACCAACTCAGCTTGGGCAGACGAAGTAGTAAAATTGGTAAAAAATGTAGAGGAGGCTGGTCGCACGATAATATATTGTGCGCGGATCAGTAACTGTTTAGATGTTTTTAACACGCTAAATACAAAATTGGAAAAATTGTCATTAGATGTGTATAATGGACAATTAACAGAAAGCGATAAAAATAATGCGATGAATAAATGGAATAAAGGCCAAACACATCTAATGATTGCAACATCGGCCTTCGGTTTGGGTATAGACATGCCTGACGTCCGTCTAGTTATACACTATAATTTTCTAATGAGCATGAGTAAGTATATATGTTATTTTAATAAATATAAATTCGTTATACAATAACTAATACTTTCATGAATAGCCAGCCTTATCCAAGCTTCCGGGTGGGCTGGACGGGATCAACAGAAAGCCAAGTGCGTTATTCTTTATTCTCAGAAAGATATTCGTATAAATTACTCTATTATTGCAGAAAATAGGGAAAGGTATTATTAATATAATTATATGTTAAATTTTATTAAATAATTCCCTAATAATATCCTTTTTGTAGTACTGATGAGAATGATGAGAAAACTATAGCTCGAGAATGCTTTTTAAAAGAATCACGACACAAACTCTTTGAAGTAATATATTACTGCCTTACCACCTATGAATGCCGATTTCAATTAATATCACAATATCATATGTGGCCAGGAGATCCAATTCCACAATATTGTAATTCCTGTGATAATTGTGTTATGCGTTTAAAGCACAAAGTTGAATTAACAGACGTAAAAACAGAACTTTTGGATCTGTTAAAAGTAGTTGAAATATTATGTGAGAATAATGATAAGCCAATCATATCCTTGGATGTAATAGACGTTTTTTGTAATACATTAAATAATGCACGACTTCAAGGTAGAAAGCTAAAATTGATGGAACTTACTAATCGTACAAAACCAAAGTTTTTACATACAAAACCCTTAGCTAAATTAGCTTTGGCAGATCTGGTCCGTCATGGTTTTGTTAACCAAACGATCTGGCTTGAACAAAAGACCAGTACAGCTTACTTGACGTCTACTATAATAATACAGGGTGTAGTAGAAGGTGCGAGTTCTCTTGTGCAAGATAAAAATTAGTTATACTGGATAAAATCGTAGAAATTTTTTCAAATATTATTTTTTACCTTTATATTCTTATATGCATTAGCATTTTCAAATAAAATTTATATTTAATATTGATCTCTACGTTGCTCACGAATCTAAATATAAAAGTTTATAAGTAAAAAAAAAAAAAGCCTCTTGCAAATCGCACATATTACAGTAATCTATATACGTACATTCTAAATTGTGTTACTGTATCGTACTACTTATTCGATCTAGTATTTTTCTTCAGCTTGTTACGTGTATTGTCAAAATGCAATACAAATCAAAGCCAAAGTCAAAGACGATATTTGATATTACAGTATTATCTGATCTGTTACGTAGAATATTCACGGAATGTTCTAGATTAATATCAGGTGTTCGATTTCCTTTATGGTTACACAAAATTAATATACAACCGATTTTATATGAAATTGTGAATCATTACCCCCTACCCTTAAATATTTATATGAAATATAATTTCTTGACAAAACTCACCAGTTATAATATCATAAATATAATTATAATAATTATCAAAATAATTATTTACTTTTTGTATTTTATTTAAATAGAAAGTGCTTTCAAGTTGCACAATAGTTTGAATAATTTTTATGTCTTCTTTGTCTTTTTTAGTTTCAGTTATACAAACTAACTCTTTTAAATTACTCATTATTTTACTTATTCTAAATGCATAGTCAACTTTGTCTGATGCTTCTATACTAATAATTTCTAACTCTGAATATAATCTAATTTGTTTCTTGATAATTTGTTTGGCAATTTGCAGAGACTCTTGTAATATTAAATTAACATATTTAGAGTATACAACCTTTTTGTAATCTCTTAAAGAATCCATATTATTCATCATACTTTTAATATTATCTAAACACTATTAAAAATTTATATTATTGTTCTTGATTTCCACTATTTCTATGAAAAAATAGTTAGTATTGCTAAATTTCTAGACTAAGATTTTCTATTAGCTTACCTGGTTTGAAAAATAGCAAGCTATAAATTCAGTAATTCTATACTTGTTTAAAATATATCTTATATCAGTTTTAATTGTAAAGTCTAAAAATGCTTTTAATTTTTTACTAAACTTTTGTATAAAGTTTATAATTCTTATTGCAGATCCAAACAATATTCCCAAATTTTTAAGTTTTTCTTTAGTTAATTTGAAGAGTTTGTAATCTAAAATTTCTTGTTTTTTAATAATATTAATATATTTATCTCTTAGGCCTAGTTCATTTTTTATAGATTGCAAATATTTAAGAATATTATCTTGCTTTCAATTTTTAACCTTTTTAACTAGAAGAAAAATTTTTTTGTTTATTATTTTTTAAAAAAATAATCTAAATGTAGACTTCTAGAAATTATAAACTAGTGCTTTTAAAATAATATAATTATATATTATTAATTATTATGATAAAAATAAAGATATAAAATTATTGATTTAAGATAGTCTAGGCATAAAATTTATATAAACTATCTAGTACTCTGCAAAATCAAATCAAATTTTGTGTTTAAGTTAAATATTTAAAATTATTTGGTCAAATTCTTAATTAATTTGATCAAATAATTTCAAATATTTGACTCAAATTCAAAATTTGATTTGATTTTGCAAAGTATTAAAACTATCATGTTAATTTATATAATATAAACATGTTGTGCTAAGTGCATATATCTAAGTTTTAATCAAAAGAATCAACAAACTATAATATTATAGCGCTTTTCTAGCATTCATATATGCTAATGTGAGAATAATGTAAGCAAAATTCATTACTAAAGTTTTTGTCACGATAAGAAATTTCAAATATATATCACTCTTAGTAAATATTAATTCGTATATACAATAATGTTTTGGTTAATAAATACTTTATTTTTTAATGATATATAAAAGATGTTTTGCTATCTTTTATAAATATTTCAATGATATTGTAACTATACATACTATATAAATAGGTTTTCAAAAATAGTCTATTTCATCTTTACTAGAGCAAATTAAAATTTTTTATAAAAAAGAGCAAATCTAATTTATATAATTATATTTTTTATAATTTTGTTTATTCAAAAAAAAAGTATCAAAAAATTTATCTTTTAAATAAAAATAAGTTAAAACAATTTTATCTTTAAATTTTAATTACGGGTTTTAAAACCTGAAATAATTTTATCTTCATCTATAATTATAATCTTCAAATTTAAAAAAATAAAGTTTATAAATAACAAATATGAAAATTTAATTATCTATAGTGGATCTGAATAAATTAATATCTAATCTTGGATATATTAATAACAATAAAAGTGTGATTTTAAAAGGAAATGTTTGCAAAAGAAGTGGTTATACATATATAACTAGTATCTATATTTTAGTTGTACAAGCCTTTATTCCTAATCTAGAAACAAGTCTTATATATGTTAGCTATTAATAGCTTCAAACTTGATAATCAGGCTATTAATTTTAGAATGGGTAACTTTTAAAAAGAATACAAAATATAAAATATTTTCAAATTGTAATCATGATAGCTCTAGATATATTATACAAAAAAAACATTGAATAGGAATATTATTTGGATTTAAAATTCTATTCATCTTGCTAGTAATGCTTCTAAAATTCCTAAAAATAAAATTTCAAAATGTTGCAACAAAAAGTGAGATACTGCTGGTGGTTGGTGCTAAATGTACTATAAAAATTATATAGAGCCAGATTCCAATAAAGAATAGAAAGAAATAGAAATTAATTTGCAAAAAGTTTATAGTTTTATTTTTAAACAGAGTTTAACTTCCAAATAGTATAATTATCCAATATAGTATTCTATACTAATAATAGAATCAATCTGGGTAACCAATATTTAGAAACTAAAGTTTATATTTTTTTAAAACAAATAAATAAAAATTTAATAATTATAAAATATTTTAAGAAATTGTATACAATATATATATTAATTTCAGAGATATTCTATATCTTTGTATTGGATTTAGATCACAAGACAGATCAGTAGAAGTGAACTTTAGCAATGAAAGATTTAAATATTCTGGTAAGTTTATTTAAAGAGTTTAATTACTATTGGTTTGTTTAAAATTTAACCTTGTTAATATATATATTTTAATTAATAGCAATAACTAATAAAGTTATTAGTAATAATACATTAAAATTGAAATATCAAAAAAGAGTTATTTTGATATGAAAATATGCTTACTAATTTAACCAATGAATTAACAAAATGGGTCATTCACGGCAATTGCTAATCCCGAAAGGGTGTTAGGGTAGGGCGGGTTACAAAAGAGGAAAGCCAGAGGG